ATCACAGGCCGATCAACTTCAGGATGTGGTAAGAAAGAAAAGGTTATAGCTATTGAGTGGGTAGCCAGCTGTGTCTGCTATGAACATTCTGAACAAAGAAATCAGCTTTCTAGAAAATCAGACTTCTCAGAGTTATCCTGTGATACTTGGGCATGAAAAGCATCTTTTTATGGAAGCAAATTTCCTAACAGCATTAGAATTGAAAACCATCAGCCCATTGCCTTTGCCAGAGCCTTTTAATTCTGTCCTGCATGTTCAGATCCTGTCTTTTCTTTAAGGTTCAGTTCAATGACTGCTTCCTTCCCTTCAAGAAGCCTTTCCTGCCACTGGTCAATTTGTGCCCCTCTGTACTGCTTACACACAGTGATATACACCTGGTTTATGTTATTTACATACATTGACATACATTTCTCTTGATGCTCTTGCCTTCTAACCCTATATACACAAGTTATCAAATCTAGCTGACTTGATCTAAAGAGCCACCAAGTCTTTCCACCTCTTTCCATCTCCATTGCTGACAATAATTGCTGATGATTACTAAACATGTATTACATGCCTGGCATTATTCTATATATTTTACATTTATAAATACATTAATCCTTTCAACAGCCCCATAATGTATATTAAATAAATTGTGTTGTGTGTGTGTGTGTGTGTGTGTGTGTGTGTGTGTGTATGGAAACTTGGAAATAGAAATGCTAAGCAACAAATTTGCAACAGTAGTAAGTGATAAAGGTATTCTTAGGGTTTCATGAATTGGCAGGCCACACTGCCTCCCTCATCTAAACTACATTCCATTTCACCTGAACTCCTTACTGCAACATGCTCCAATGTGACCTCCTTGCCTGCACTCAACTCCCTTCCAATGCATTCTTTATCCTGAAGTTAAAGTGAACTGTACAAACTGCAAACTATAATCACAGTTCAATCCCTCCCCCACTCCACGTGCCCTCCATGATATCACCCAGTCAAACCGTCCTGCCTCACCTTACATTATCCTTTTCTTGAACTTTTAGACTCTAACCACTTTGACCTTTCTTTCCTGTCTACCCAGGACCTTTGCATAATCTATTGTCTCTGCCCTAGAAGTTTCTTTTCTACTTTGAATCCTACTAGTTAACTTCTTATTCTTCAGAATACAATTTAAATGTCATTTGATACTGGAGAAAGCCTTACCTCCACCTGCAGACTAGGTCAAGTTCAGATAGGTCATAGTAGATTTTGTTAATGTACCACTAGATCACCAACACCACCAAGACACTTTGTTCATCAATTTATCTCCAGTGAGGAGTCCCCTGTTTAGCTCAGGAATCAGCCCACTTTTGTTATACCAACAAATCTTGGCTCTTTTGATAAAGGGCAAGTTCTTTAAAGGCACACATTGTGCCTTGGGGAAGCAGTCTGCTATCATAAAAAGAACATGGCCCTTGGGCTATATTTCAAAAGCTGACTATTCCACCCCAATCTCTATATGCGTGAATTCTCAAATCTCAGCTTTCTAATAGGAAATAATCACACTGTGCTGACTAAGAAGTATGGAAAATAATGTGCAGTAAATACTTCTGTTATGGTTTGGATATGAGATGTCCCTCAAAAGCTTCTGTGTTAATGCAGAAATATTCAAAAGTGAAATGACTGAATTATGAGAGTTGTGACCTAATCAGTCCATCCTACTTTAAATGGACTGAGTGGGAACTATAGGCAAGTGGGACATGGCTAGGTGGGTCACTGGGGAAGTGCCCCAAAAGAGTTCATCTTCCCTGTAGACCCTTCCCCCACCCCTGCTTCCTGGCTGCCATACAGGGAGCATTGCTTCTCCACCATGCCCTTGCACCCTAATGTTCTGCCTCACTTTGGGACCAAAGTAATGGACTTGGCCCACCACGTACTAAACCTCTGAGCCAAAACAAACTTTTCCTCCTCTCAGTTACTCTTGTCATGTAATTTGGTTGCATCGGTGAAAAGCTGACTAACAGCTCCTCAGATCTTTCTTCCCAGGTGCATCTTTGCATCCCAATAGATGAATGACATGACCAAGAGGATGCATAGCTGTTGCCTCGCTGTCCCACACTGTCCCTCCTAGGCCCTGGTTTCCTTCTCTGCTGCTTGGCCTGTACGGGGGCCACCAAGTGGAAACATGAAAAAATGCTGCAGTGAGCAAGAGCTTAAGAATTTGCTAGGGGCAAAGGAAAGAATGAGGATGGAATGAACATGTTACATGTCAAATATCCACTAAGTGCCAGGTATTTTATTCATCACTCATTTAATATTTAGCAAAAGGAAATCAAATTCTACAAATGATAAAATTGGCTCAAAAAGGGTTAGGTGTTTCACCCATGGTCTTAGAGCAGGAAAACTAGTATAGACTTTCAACCAAAACTCAGGTCTCTGTTTCTCCTTAGGATTTACTGCAGCTACCCCAAGGCACTGCCTCCAAAATGATTTTCTTCCTCACTCTTGCTTCTGCCTAAGTGTGCAGTAAAAGTCCCAGGGCATCTTAATGTATCTTAAAAGTCAACCTGACCCTGTTGTATATGAAAGAATTAGGTAACTCAGTAATATTTGAGCACACTGTGTCTCAAGATTAATTAAACATTTTCAAATTAATTATACTTTTTAGAGTCTTATTTTTAAAAGCTACATGATGTTCAAGTAGAAAAATTAACTCTGAATTCAAAATGCCCCAAACCAAAATGTTGGCTAAAGAATAGTATTAATTAAGTTAATTGAATATAAGCTTTAATTATTGAGTTAAATATAGTCAGTACCATTCTCTGAGCCTACATGAAGTTATATGGAGTGAGGGACCAGGCATATAAGAGAGAAGGAGGACATAGGAATTTGTGTCCCTTCTCTTTGAGATGTTATCTCAGACCTGGCTTTGAAACAAAACTGAGCTCCCCACATCTCACTAAAGTGGTCCCACCACACAACCAAAATACTACAGTTACTCAGAATGTCATCCACCCACTCCCTGGGTCCAAATCCTTCAGCATTCTCATTAAAATTCCACTTCCTATGTCCCACTCCAGGCCTGTGAAACTCAGTTCTCTGCCACCGGTGCTCAGGTATCAGCATTTTCACTAGCAACTCTGATGCTCCTGATTCATCTGAAGATTCATCCCAAGAACAGCATTAGGAAACCCGATAAAACTTAAAGATCATGATTATTTCACATATTTGTTGTTTCAAGGGGACACTATTTTCTTTTATCAACTGTAAAATGTTTTAAATAAGAAATGGACAATTATCTCAGCAATCCCAAAGGTGAGGCATTTCCTATTTCAACATGAGGGAAATCAAGATCTGAAATATATATAGCATGCCCTGTATTAAACACAGGAATAAACTGCCTTGCACTGAAGATAGAAAGAACAGCTACCAATTCACTGATTAAGGAGTTTCATTGGGAAAGCTAACCCCCTTGAATTAACTCGCCTTTGTAGTCAACTCCTAGTTAGTTACATCTTGTGAGGGAATGGCCTGTTTTCTAAATTTATAATCCCAAATATGTTTCTTAGTTAGGAATAGACTCCCTGACTCAACCACTAATTGTGTGTTCAGGACACTCTTTAATTCTTTTTCTGTATAACCCCTAGGAAAGGTAATTTTTAAGGTAATTGACTTCCTTTTTTACTCCTCTCCAGTGTTAAAGTCAGTCCCCCACCCCACTCTCTTGTCTGCTATTCTACCAGTTAGAATTCTGGATATAGGAAATTCATTTTTAAAAGGGAATCTAAGAGTTGAACAGCTCCTTGTGATTAGACCAACACCTCCATTCTTTCATAGTTCAGTAGTCTCTATACCTGGGCTTCCCAGGACTTGCCCCAACATGAGTTTCTTGTAACTTGAGGGTCATGTCCCCATGCAAGGAAGCACCAATCTCAGGGTTCACTGCAATCTCTGCATTTGAGTGAACTCTAAGAGTTGTATCACCTCAGAAGCCCAACAGCTTCTTAGTTATGCACAGGTAATTTTTAAAGCACTATAAGAAAATAGGGTTTAGCCTTCTCCCCAAAAGTAAGAAGAGTCACTGATTCAGTAGTTGAGAGTAGTATCTTGAATCTGACAAATCACAAACATGTGTACTTTTGCTAACCAAACTAGTAGCTGGAAAATAGCTCAAAAATATATCACCCCTGGATTTATTTTCTTTTTTTCTCCTCAAATGGAATGACTTTACTTAAACTGACCAGTCCATTACTAATGCAGTCATCAACTGTGTGTACAGAATGGAAAATATTAGACATTACGTTACCAATGTCATTTGTAGAAATTCTGATTTTTCGAAAAAGAAGTGTAGAAGGTACACTCATAGAAGACATTTTGAACCTTAAAATGAAACTGCTTGCTTCAATGCAAATGGCTGTGTGTGTGTGTGTGTGTGTGTGTATGTGTATGGGTAGGGGCGGATACAGGGAAATGGATAATCTCTCTTCGACTATCCTTTCTAGTATTACAAGTTGTCTAACCTGTATCATTAATACATTCTCTGCGTTGAGCCAAGGATTCGGTGAATGAAATCAGTTCTTTTGCTTCTTCTATGTACTCAACGGGCAAATCAACAGCGATCAAATGACCTGTTAATTCTTTCGCAATAAATTCAAACCAAATTCATGACTCGCCTACCCTGTGCCCGGTACTGTGCCAGGCTCCAGAGATATAAGATGAATGAAGCAATGTTATGGTTTATTGCTGATCTCTTAAGGTTTGTGGGTCGGGGGGATGGCTCTGCTCTCTTTCTAGTGCAACCTGGACGGCTGTTGAACCAGAAGGGGTGTGATTACCCCACTGCTCCTGGCTTCCGGAAACTGGATACTCCCTAGCCAGCCGGGGAACCGAGTGTCAGGGTTCGCTTTGCGTTCCCGAGAGCCAAACGCTCAAGTTCAACTCCGGAGCCGCGCGGAGCGAACCCGGGACTCCGTCCGCAGCGCATCGCGCCAGCTTCCCTCCACCTGTCAGCCGGCGCGTCCGGGTGGCCAGACCCGGTGCCCACTCACTTTGCCGCTGTCGCTCACACCGAGGAGATGATCCCGAAGCACTTCCATGGGGCAGGTCCAGGTGGAGTGGACGAAAGTCCCTCGGAAGATGTGCGCCAGGGGAGGCATCCGGGCGGCACACATGTCAGCGGCGGGACACAGCGCGGGGACCGCGGGCTAAGGAGGGCACACCGGCAGAGGCACAGCTGGGGCTCCCTGCGGCTGCCTGCAGCTGCGGAGCGGGCACCTGCTCCGGCCTCGTCCTGCCCCCGCTTCCCCGGGCGATCGCCTGCCCCCTGCAGGCCGCGCCCAGGGGCTGGCTCCCTGCCTCCTCAATGCCAATAGGATTTTTCTCCCGCGAGTTGGCTCCGCACTCCCGTGGGGTGTGGTTTTCTCCCCACCCCTGCGTTAGTTTTGGATGTGTTAACTCTTTGAGTTATCAGAATCAACCTTCTCTACCTTTCTTTAATTGCCATGCCTACACTTCTATCTGCCAGTCTTCTCTGCCCCTTTCTCTCTTAGGGCTATTTATTGCTCAAGTTCTGGACAGGTGAAAGGTCGGCTGGGGAAGTCTACCTCATGATCAGTTTCATTTTCAATTTCTACGGGACTCAGAATATGTATTTGTCCTCCCTTGAGTTTATGGAAGCACATCTTAGAGAATCTCTCACACGGGGCTCCACCATGGGAGTCCATGTGGATCTCAAAGTTCCTCTCTTTGCCTTAAGGTCAATGTTTTGGTCCTTGTGGTTGTCTACAAACAACCCCAACATCACGTCTGAATAAATGACTGTCTTTGATTTACTTTCAGTTGTACCAGGGGAGAAAATTAAGTTCTCCCTGTCAAATAGGGAATGGCAGCTGCCTAGGGTGCTGGAATAGCAATCAAGGGACTGCCACAAAACTAGTAGGCCTAGGTGTCCTTATCTTCTTCTCTGTAAAAATGGCTCTTGGATCAGGATATTGGGAAGCCTCTAGGTCAGCCCTTCGTTCAGTTCTTTAGAAAGGACTACCTGGTTTCCCTCAAGGCCTTAGAACACCCTGTTCCCTTCCTCTGCTCCTAATGCTTCCAGTGAATCTTGACGTAGCCACTCTTCTCTCACTGGTTTGCCTCGGGTTTCTTTGGAGTAACCTTCCCTGACCAACCAGTAGCCCACCCCACCCCCTGCAGTTTCTATTCCATTAGTCCATGTTTTCTTTTTTCCTGCCACAGCATCAATCATATCCATTCTCATTTATTTCATGTTTTTCATTTATTCTTGTCCCACCCACACACTAGCAATAGAAGGACTGGAAGAGCAGCAGAAGTGTCTTGTGCCTGGAACAATGCCTGCTGTTCTGTACTTGTTTGTTGAATAAATGGATGAATGGGTTTTCCCAGAGCAGTGGAGTAATCTGGATGGACATCTGTTTTGACTTCTACATAAAGGGGTGAGGTCTTCCTTGCAGTACCTGCACAGGCATTCTCTGAATTGCTGCTTTTATAACACAGGACTGGTCTCTATAAATGATTCATTCCCTTTTAGGTTGCTTCTCCTTATTAGTGCTAGGGTTTCTAGGGATGACATCATTTTGTTTTGTAGGGGACTTTCCTGATTTCAATCCTAAAGTGTCAAGATCCAGAAATTCCTCAGTTTCAGACACCCAACTAAGGTTGGTCACCCTATCAAGGATTCAGAATTAGAAATTCCTGAAGTTGATGTCATTGTACTTGTACTTCTCTTGGAGACTTCAGCCCCTTCTCTTTGATTCTGTAGACCACAGTCCTTCCTTGCAGTCCTAATAGCCATCACACTGAAATATTCCCTTGACCTCAGCTTGTCTACACGTCAACCTCAAGAAGAAGCAAGAAGTGTCTGCCTTTGGCTGTAAAGAAGGTTTAATTAAATGTTCCCAACATATGTATTAGTTCCCTAAAATAGAAACAACTAATAATTTTTTAATGAAAGCAGCCCAAATGAGGCTAGTTTTGTGAATTAGAATATTTTTATTAGGGCATTATAGTTATACATAGTAGTTGAGTTCATACCAACAAAATCATACAGGCAAGGAATCCAATTTCAGTTCACATTTTACCACTTTTTTCTTCCCCTTTCCCCCCCCTCATTCTCTTTCCTCTACTCTGTTGATCTCTCTTTCACCCATATATTTATTTATTTTTTATTGTACTTCCTATTTATACATAGAGGTAAAATTCACTGTGATATATTTATATATGCACATAGCATAACTTTTCAAAATTCAATCCATATTTTATCCCCTTTCCTATTCTTTCTCCCTCTCAATCTCCTTCTTCTACTCTACTGATCTTCCCTGTCTTTATGATATCCAATCTTCCTCTCTTTTTTTTCCTTTTACTTTAGTTTCCACATATGAAAGAAAACATTTAATCCTTGATTTTTCTGAGACTGGCTTATTTCATTTAGCACAAACTTCTCCATTTTCAACCATTTATCAGAAAGTGTCATAATTTCATTCTTCTTTATGGCTGAGTACAACCCTATTGTGTAGATATACCACAAGTTCTTAATCCATTCATCTGTTGATGGGCATCTGGGTCGATTCTATGATTTGGCTGTTATGAATTGTGCTGCTAATAAACATTGAGGTGGTTATATCACTATAGTATGCTGATTTTTGTGATCTTGTATAAATAGCAGAAAGTGAGATAGCTGAGTTATATATAGTTATAGTTATATTCCTAGTTTGTTGAGGAAGCCCCATACTACTTTTCCAGAATGGTTGTACTTGTTTATCGGCAGTCTCACCAACAATGCACTAATGAGGATACAGTATACATTGCGACCAGGCACAGTGATGCATGCCTACAGTCTCAGCTTCTTGGGATGCTACCACAGGAGATTACATTGAGCTCAAGAGTTCAAGGTTCAAGTCTGGCTGAAGGAATTCAAGATGGGCAAGACACCATCTCAAAAAAGAAGAAAAAAAAAGGAAAGGAAAAAAAGAAAGAAAACCACACAGTATATTATACAGTTATTAAAAACAATAAGGTAAACATGTAGCCACGTGGGAAATATATGTACTATAATGTTAAGCTTTTAAAATGGTATTTGTGTGGGGCTGGGGATGTGGCTCAAGCGGTAGCGCGCTCACCTGGCATACACGGGGTGCTGGGTTCGATCCTCAGCACCACATAAAAATAAAATAAAGATGTTGTATCCACTGAAAACTAAAAAAATAAATATTAAAAAATTCTCTCTCTCTCTTAAAAAAAATTATAAAATGGTATTTGTGCTATAATTAAAATCATTAAAAGCCATAAGCATATTAAATGGATAACGTCCATCAACAATGGAAACCATTTGATTGAGGTAAGGGAATTGCTCCTGAATTTTGTGTTGATGTCCACTAATGCTCTTATAAAGTGGCTTATGGAATGAATAATCATTATACAAATTTAAGTGAAGTTAATCTTCTTAAACAGAAAGAGTGACCATGGGCCTCCATGTGACATGGCAGTAACATTCCTAGGAAAAAGATTTAAGCATTAGCTCTTTTGAGAAATACAGAGTTCCAATTTCATTACTAATCAAGTTGTAGGTACCTGGGCTCAGGATCTAGAAGCACAGGCACCGTGCTGCCGATTAGTCCTACTCAGTCACAGGTCAGAAGACTGGATTTCCCCACACTACTGTCACTGGTTCTCCACCCTCAGACTTAGTGACTCTTAAATTACTGATCCTCCTGCAATGTGACTCCATCCTGATATCCCCAGGAAAAGGTTCTCTGGACTCCTGAGGTTTGGAGAAAGAAGGGAGCACAAAGCTTTCACATTCATTTTCAAAACACAGCCCAAAGCTGGGCAAGGTGGCACACACCTAAAATCCCAGTGACGTGATTCCTCTGAAGGCTGAGGCAGGAAAATCCTAAGCTCAAGGCCAGACTGGGGGCCTTAGCAATACCTGCAGCCATTTATAGAGACTCTGTCTCAAGATAAAAAATGTAAAGGGCTGGGGATATAGATCAATGGTAAAGCACTCCTGGATTCAATCCCCAGTACCAAAAAACAAAACAAAACGAACAAACAAAAATAAGTCCTTCTCAGGGGACATCCTGAGCTTCCACAGACCCAGCTCCCCTGCTCTCCCAGTGACATGGATCTGCTTTTCTCATGCTCTTCCCTCTTCCCTTGACCACCCAAGCCTGCCTCTTTTTCCCATACACTCCTAAATGCCTCAGGTATTGCCTACCTGCCCCACCCTCATCCAGGAAACCTTGACACCTCTGATTCACCCCAGATGTTGTCTTCCTCCTTTGAGGTCCTGCAGGGTGTTGTAATTGCTCTTTTAACCTCCCCCAGAAGATTGTATAAGGGTTCTGGTCTATATGAGGCACTAAATAGACTTTGAATGCTAAATTTCAAAAGATGGCTTTCTTGCCTATCTATTTAAGTGATAAAAACTCAACAGACTACATGGTGGGTACATGCTAATGGTGAGCAACTCTTTGGTGTGAACTCAAGAAAGAGTTCTATTTCATTTATGTGTTCTTCCAACATTTTATAATGAGAATTTTCAAACAAAGGAAAGTAGAAATGCTTCCTTTCTCAAGATCACAACTCTCCCTACTCCAGGTGGAACCAAGTGGCCCTCAAACTCCCTAACAACTGGGTAGGACCAGTGTGTGCTAAACCTCTAAATGCCTGAGGCAGAGGACTATACCACATTAAGATCGGCTTTGATATTCGGGTCATCTTGTCAATGTAATTATTATCCCTACAGCTAGTCAATCTCTCCTGCTAGGTAGAACTTGACTATTTAAAAGGATCTGTCTTCTACTGTCCTAATTTGAGTCTCAGAACAACACTATGAAGTAGGAAAAGGACATATTATAGCCATTTCATAGATGAGGAAACCGAGGTTCAGGGAGGTTAACTTGCTTATCCATTTAAGATAGGATGGATCTGGGTTTTGACTCTCATTGCCCTCACACACTGTCTCATTGGGATAGACTGTGAAGACTTGTATATTCCCTTCTGCCAGGAACCACTTGGCCACTGTGGTATGGATTGTAGTCATCTACAACTTCCACAATGTATATGGTTTCCCAACAGTTGCTGGTGACGCACAGATCTAGTCCGAAGTAACACCGAAGTGGTAATAATGGACCTTGAGGAGAACAGGAATCCAATCAGTATAGGTCAGTAGAGTGAGCCAGTGAGAATAATTCATGTTTTCATGAGGCACAGAGAGTGAAGGGCAAGCAGGTTAAATGAGAAACCACTTTTCCTCCCCTGTCTAGGAGAGAAGTTGTCATTGCACAGTGAAATAAATGC